CATCCAGAGTGTGGATGCACTGTTCTTCCAGGGAAGAGAGCAGTTTAGGGAAAAAACACAGGTAAATACACTGCCTGATTTAGATAAACCAGAGAGACCCCCTTGAATAAAAACTGTGTGTGTGGTCACAGCGTTCCCTTGTCTTTGGAGAACTGAGCGTAAGACAGCTCAGCCATTAGGGCCTGCAACTCTCACATCCTTCTTGCTGAAGTGATGGCTATCAAGCACGCTGTTTTCCGAGACAGGAGAGGCAGCAGACAGGACACAAGGGGCTCAAACGGAGGGCCCATCAGAGCTGTCACAACCGAGTTCAGGTCCCACCAGGGAACTGGTTCTCAGACTGGAGGATGTAAGGGGAGATGACCCTTCAGAAATCTCATCACCGTGGCAGTGGGAAAAATTATCTTCCCTTGAATCAGGGGATGGAACCGGATATCGCTGCCAAATGCGCTCTCAGTGAGCTGAGCACAAGGCCCGATTTCTGAAGATGTTGCAGGTAACTCCAAGATGTCCTGGATGGAAGCCTCTGTTGGTTGGGTCCCGCGGGCCATGGACCAGATCGAACCTCTTCCATTTTGCTAAGTAGATCGTCCTAATGGAGAACTTCTGACCGCTGAGCACGACTTGTTGGACAGCCTCTGAGCACCACTCTTCCTCTTCATTTAGCCATGCAGCAGCCATGCTGTGAGGTGCAGGGAACTGATTGCAGGATGGAAGGTTGGGCTGTGGCTCTGCATGAGCAGGTCGGAATGGAGAGAAAGTGAAATGGGAGGTTGAATTGACAGAGCAAGGAGATCTGAGAACCAGCAATGTCTCGCAGGAGCAACGAGGATGAACGTGGCTCGATCCACTTTGAGCTTGAGGATGACTCGTGGAATGACCGGAATAGGTGGACAGGAATACAGAAGAGTCAACTGCCAGGTGCAGTGGAAGGTGCTGGAGAGGGATCTCAGGCTGAGGCCCCCTCAAGAGCAGAATAGTTGACATTTCCTGTTCTCCCTCATTGCAAATAGGTTAATTGCAGGGATGCCCCATGTTGCAAAGATGACCCAGAGAACACTCCCCTTCAGGGACCACTTGTGGCTCTGGGAGAAAACTCTGCTGAGATGGTCCGTGAGACGATTTTGCATACCCAGTAAATGGACTGCTAAGGGGGTGATGTCGTCTTTGATGCAAAATTGCCATAGGTTGATCACCTCCAGGAAGAGTAACCTAGAATGTGCTGCTCCTTGCTTGTTCACAGAGTACACTGTGGTGGTATTGCCGGTGAGTACGTGAAACACTGAGTGTCTGGATGCAGTCTTGGAAGGCATGACATGCACTGTGGATGGCCTGAAGTTCCAACTCATTGATATAGAGTGAGGCTTCCTGTTCCAACCACAGGCTCTGCACCCTCAACAAGTCCAGATGTGCCCTCCAACCCAGAAGGGAAGTGTCAGTAACCACTGACTTGGTCCGAGAGGGCTGAGCGAAGGGGATTCCTTGGCACACACTGTGTGGGGACTCCCATTAGCACAAGGCATCTAGGACTGGTGAAGAAAGGTGAACCAACCTGTCCAGAGAATTCAAGGTGGTACGCTGTTCTGAACCACATTAGAAGAGGGAGGAGGCGCAACCTGGCGAAGTGGACCACCTGCGTGCAAGCGGACATGTGGCTCAACAGGCTCAGACACACGCAGACTGTCATGGAGGGCTGAGATTGCAGACTGAGGAACATCTGTTGAGCTGCCTCGAAGCCATCGGTCGTCGGGAACACCCTCGACCTCATGGAATCTAACAGGGCCCCAATGGATTTGATTTTCAGAGTGGGAGACAAGGTTGACTTTGCAGTATTTAAAATGAGTCCCAGATGGTCGAGCAAACGCAACACTGTGTCCATGTGGTAGAGAACCTCCTCTCCAGAGACACCCTTCAGCAACCAGTTGAGGTACAGGAAGATGTGGATTCCCTTCTTCCTAAAATATGCCAAGACCATCGCCATGCATTTGGTGAAGATCAGTGGACACAAGAGAGGCCGAATGGGAGAACCATATACTGAAAGTGGTGTTCTCCTACCACAAAATGCAGAAACTTCCTGTGGCCCAGCAGAATCACCACCTGAAAGTAAGCGCCCTGAAGGTCCAGAGCAGCAAACCAGTCATTCTGAGACAGCATGGGGAGGATTGCCGATAGAGTGACAATGCGGAATCTCATGTACTTGATGAATTTGTTGAGGCCACAAAGGTCAAGAAAGGGTCTAATCCTGCCCTGGGATTTAGGAATCAGGAAGTACCGGGAGTCAAAGCTGTCGCCTCAGTGTTCTTGTGGAACTTTCTCCACCACTCCCAACTTCAACAGAGAGCTGACCAGCTTGGTGAGCAGTGTCTTGTGAGACGGGTCCCTGAGGAGGGACGGGGAAAGAGAGGTGGGAACGGGGCATGGAGAGGAACTGGATTGTGTAGCCCGATCTGATAGTATCTAGGACTCAGCTGTCAGAGGTAATTGAGTCCCAAGCATTGTAAAAGTGGACCAGCCAACACCCAAAGGGACAGGGAGACAGAGGGAGTGGAGCAAAGACTCCAGCAACTGGCAGTGAGAAGGAACTGAGGGGGCTCAGATTGACACCACCTTATATCGCTAGAGGAGGAGCCACCCCTCTACCGGGACTGCTAGGCAAAAGTCTCTGGGTCCTGTGCACTGGGCATGCACACACCTAAGTGGAACACAGGTCTGCATCTAGTCAAAGGAGGAGGATTGTTGAGCATTGCTTTGTAAGTGCAATTTACATTTACTGTGAAGAATTACAGAAGCATCCATACAGGTGCTCAGATACCACAGCGTTGAGTGCATGAAAAATACATATGCTTCTATATACACACATTGCCACACAACAACAGAATCATCTGAAATAAGGGCAGCGTGATCCAATCATTCTTTCCATAAATACTGATAATCAGTGGTTTGGTGAAGAATTTTCTCCTTGACAAGGAAGATATCTATGCAGGAATGCATGGATGCAAAGTAAATGAGCAAATTCAGCATACTGGCCGCATCCCCTGCTTCTGTATAACCGAGCTGAGCACAGCACTCGCCTCCTTAACCATACAGAGCGCTGAAAACTGTCAGTCAAACTACATACTTAAAATGTCCATACTACAAACACATGATGGGTTTAGCATATCAACTGGCCTAGTTTTTACAGGTAGGATAGGCAGCCCCAATTCAGCCAAGCACTTACACACACATCCTTAAGTGCTTTGCTGAACCGAAGCCTATATTATTTCTATTGGCACCCAAAGGTGAGCTGAGTGCCTCCCACTCAGAAAGATGACAGGATCCTTGGCCCCAGAGAGCTTAAAATTAGCCACGGCCTGGCAAGACAGAAAGGAAGGGGCAGGGGAGGAAACAGAGTAACATCAGTAAGATTATGCACTTACTCAGTGACAGCTTATGCATGAGCTCACATACTAAAGAGAGTGTTTATGAACAGACTCCTTAGTTGGCTAATTTTGCATAGGCATCATGGCAGAAGTGGGTCTAAGGAGGGCTTTGAATGAGGAGATTCAGGGAGTGTCTTGTGGATCAGAGGAGGGAGGGCATTCCAGCTGTAAAGAGTGGCACGGGCAAAAATGTGAAGACATCTGTGGGAGAAACAAAGAAATGGGATATCAAGGTTAGGAAAGGACTCCCCTTACCAGAATGACTAATCTGTACAGTTCTCTTGGGAAATAAAGAGGAAGTTATTTGTGACCACAGGACTCATGATGGCCAAGCCCCAAAAAATGTACGAGGATAACTATCAGTCCTACAATCATCTTTTCAATATTGCCACCAGCTAAAAGGAGCAGGTGGGACCTCTTGGAGAGCTTTGCCAACAGCAACAATGTGCAGATCTGTGCACCTGACTCTCCATAATACCTTGCTTTGTCATCTTAAATGTGCATATAACAGGCAGGATTTAAGTTCCTTGAATATCAAGCAAGATTCACATACTGTAGTATCGGCATGTTGACATTTAACTGAGGTAGCCAGCTAGTTGTCATCGTATATTAGTGATGACAAAATGAAGGGAAAAGATGAGGTGCTAAAAAACACTAAAGGCAGCCAAAGCCAGTAGCATACACTTACTACCATGTCTTTTTCTTTTTTAATTTTTGTTTTTATCACCTCCATTTTCTCTTTTCACCCATCTCAAATAAAAGATACGTCCGAAGAAAGGTTCAACAATCCAGTTAAATCATAACGACTTTGGATATTCAAGGGCAAATTTAAGAAAACAACAACAACCACCCCATCTTATATTTATAAAGGCAAAACCAGTGATGTGCACTTTAAGCACTGATACAACACCACAAAACTGACAGACTCTGCAAAACCCATTAACCAAAAGCATTCAATGAAAAAAATCCCATCATCTTCCTACACATGTATAAGCACTCAAAATTGTATGCACATATATTTGCATGATCAGAAAATGGAGTCTATATTAATGGAGGCCATTTCAAAATATGTCCCAACCCACATTATGTAAACATACGAAGGATCGCTTATTCTATTAATTTTATTTTCAAGTATTCAGAAAGTTAGAATGTTTGCTATTTTGCTTCAAAAATATTTCTTTCCTCCAGCTAGAAAGTACTGAATTCCCACAGAATGACTTGAGGATTTTGTGTTTTCTAGCAGCACTGATTTCATAAAATGAAAATATTTTCAAATCATTCACCTTGTAGCTTGTGATATCTGGTGTTAAAAATAGTTACTGGTTTCATCTAAAAATATTACTCAGTGCTGGTCACCAAAGTGTTGACTATTCCTGGTTTCTTCATCTTGACCCTAATAGAAAGCCTTTTTTCCCCAAAACTGAAAAGTAAAATCATTGGAAATACATATTATTATACATAGTGCAGTTAAAGCAATACTGAAGTGTTTTTTCCTCTATTTGTGCAATATGAATTGTGTCCAGCAGTCAAATTCACTATGTCAACTGTAATGCTGTCTTTGGGTTTCTTCTTGCATAGATGGATATGAAAAACGATTGTTATTTAAAAATACTTTGACCCACCACAGTGAGAATTAAGCAATTTGATAAACTAAATATTGAAGTGTCTTAATGCGTCAAGCTAATCTGAATTCTTTTTTGTTTGAAGTCCTGACATCACTTAAATAGAACTTCCCTTTCACAAACTACACACGAAGAGGTGTTTTATAACTAGCATTATCTTGCATTACATACAATTGCTCATTGGGTGTAAGCAGATGTAGGTAATTTATTACATCATAAATCTAACCTCTTCAATATTTAAGCGGATGTAACACACAAATTAAAGATTCCAGTTAAGCATCACCACATTTTAACCCCTCACATTTGCATAAAATAATTGACTACAAGCTATTTAATTGCAAAAACTGAAAGTTTATACAGGTGCTTTACTACGTCATACTGTGTCATGGGTCCCTTTGTTCAGCTTTCCACACAAACATCTGTGTCATGATTGTTTCCACTCATTATCTATTCAGTCTCTGCGTTATCACTTCTCGGTACATGATAGAGATGTATATCAGCAGCAGAAAGATGACAAAGAAATCATCTAAAAATCCCAGAATTCCGAAGAGGGCTTCAGGAAGAAAATCCAGAGGTGAAGCCAGATAGAGCAGAGCTCCTAGCAGGCAGAGGAATATTCTGATACGGAACATCCAGAAAAGGCCCCCTACAGTAAACATCTCCCTGAAAGCATGCCGCAGTAAAGTGGGTAAATCCATAATTCTTTCCATAATCTACGAACAAACAAAACAGAAATAATTAATCTTTTGCAACATCATACAAAATGCCAACATAAATACTTCCTAAATGGGATTTTTTTTTTTTTTTTTAAAAGCACAACATTGATACTATCACATTCACCAGTTTTGGAATCCACTAGGTCACAAGACAAAGTTTATAGACCTGGTACTTGAAACCACAGTATAACGAATTCATGAAAGATTTTAACTGCCAAGACACCTATTGGGTAAGAAACACAGCAAAACTAGCATCAAAGTGGTTCTTAATTGACACAGAAGACAACTTATGATTCACCAAGTAGCAAGCAGTGGAGAAACTATTCTGGATCCATTTCTTACAGATAAGTAGTAACTGACTGAGGATATAACTATAGTAGAGAAGTTTGGAATCAATGGTCACAAGTTATATTAGTTCAGTACAATAAAGAAAGGGACTTGAACTCATAACAAAGAGAAGGTTCACAGAATGCAGCGGTATATATTTAAGAAAAGGTAAATCAACAAAAACAGATTTCAGGAAAGCAAAATGTTAATCGAGTGAGTAGGATGCAATGGAAGAAAGTATGGAAAATCTAAGAATATGGAAGAAAACTGGGAATTCTTATGAGACACCATAATCAAGTTGCAACAGATTACATTTCCTCTGAAAAAGAATAATGCAAAATACAAGCTGTGGCTAAATGTGGCTTTTCAAGGGACTGTTCAAGCTTTAAGATTAGAAAACAAAATAAACCCAGCCATGGCTCCTCCTTATTTTTTATTCTGTGGCTTCATCCACACTAATTAGCCATGGTTCTGTGGGAGCCATTTTTTAATTTTAGCACTGTTTCAATAATGGCTCCTTTCCCAAAACAGACAGAGCCACAGAATAGAAGACTAAAAGGAGACATGGACTGAGCTTAAAAAAATACTTTAGAGAGTAAGGGTAGTCTTGTGATTAAGGCAATGGACTGCGTTCAACATCCACAGGCAGGATGTCTAGGTTCAATTCCTGGGTCCGCCACGGACTTCCTGTGTGACCTTGGGCAAGTCGCTGAGGGTCTAATCCAAAGCCCACTGAAGTTAATGGGAGTCTCTTAATTTCAATGGCCTTTGGACCAGGCTTTCAATCTCTGTACCTGTAAAATGGGGATAATACTTCCTTTCTCTCATATTGTCAGGGTCATCTATTTAGATTGTAAACTCTTTGGGGTAGGGTCCCTAGTAAGAAAAAAATGAGATATGTGCAGGAAGGACCCCACTGAAATAATTGGGATCTGCCTGGACACATCTCATTTGTAGGATCAGGATCTGCGTTTACGAACTGTGCCTAGCAAATGTGACAACAGTAGCTTGCAAGGTGTACATTCTAAAGTTCTTACAACTCTAATTATGACATTCAGTTATAGAAATAACACTCTCAGAGAGAAAAGTTTAGAGAACAAAACAGAGAAGGCACACATAACTCATTAGGAAATCGAGGGAGCATAGAACTCAAAATACATTTACAAAAGAAAGGGAGCTATATCAACACCGACAAAAGCAAAGCTAAATTCTCCTGATCAGTTCTGGGAGCAAAAAGGGAAATATTTTTCTTTACAAGCCACATATTTCTTTACTTGTTAATTATGAATAATTTAGGCCCTGAATCAGGAAAGCGTTTAAGTACACGTTTAACCACCCTTCCTGAATAAAGGATGCTCTTCTGAATCAGGGCTTTAATCAGTACCATGTCATTACAACAGAAATGAAAGGTTAAAGGAGTAGTTAAAAATAAATGTTTTTATGCTTAAGCTGCAGGGACTTGTATTTACTAAACAAAACCTGTGTAGTTCCCATCAATTATGAACAGAAAATAAACATCTACAAGAAAAATCACACGTTATAAAACAGTGTTAGTCTTTCGCTAGTTTATTGATTCCCCCCCCCCCCCCCCAATCTTACTTACAGATCTGGGCTGTCCTGAGAATCTCCGGTTGTAATCATTAACATCTTGAAGCACTTGTGCTGCATCCTGCTGATCTTCACCAAAGAGTGGTAAAAACAATGTTACCTGTGCACAACAGCAAGAAGTCACTTCATGCCTGACAGTTCTTACGAATATGAAATTGCAAATTCATAAATGAAACAATAGTAATTCAGTGCTAAACCTCATTCTTTAAGTACAATTCATTACTGTAGACCAAACTTGGTACAACTTTAGATATATGTGGCCTTGTTTCTAAATATTAACCTAAAAACAACGAGTGTTTAATACTTGCACTGTATTTACTTACATACAGCTCCCAAGTCTTAAAGAATTAACATTTTAAGATACTATAAAAAGGATATATACAAAGCTATTTTCAAGAATATTTACTAAGGACAAAGTACAAGAATCCAGTCTTTGAAGTAGATCAAGGGTAAAGTTTTCAAAATTGCATAAGTGACTCAAGTGACTCAAAACTCAAGTCCCATTTTCAGAGGTGATTTAGGCACTTAGATGCTTGGGGGTTTTGAAATTTTTATCCCCAAATCAGACAAATGCTTCTGTCATCATTACTGGTGATCTTGCATTGAAGCATAAAAGCAGCGAAGTTTGAGCTCATTGTATAGCACAGTGGCTGAGGGCCCTTCACCAACACTGTTCCTCCAAAGTGCACCAGCCTAGGGGGAGTCCGCTGCAACCTGCTTCGTGATCATGGCGACGCTCAGAGTGAGTCTCCAGGCCCTACCCCATTAAGGTTCCCCTTGACTGGAAAGCTGGTGGCAACAATGGGAAGTTTTGAGGATAAGGTGATTAAATTGGAGAAAAAGTGGGCAGGACAAGAAAAAGGGATAGTCTTGGCTTTTGCAAAAGTAATGAATGGAGGATTCTCCTCCTAAAGAAAAATATAGTTTAGGGAATTAATTCTGCTACAAATATCTAAAACTACACAATATGACATACATACGCATGTGTACATTTTATCTATATACAGAAAACTATTGTAATTTTACACACATGTGGTGATGATATTCATGTGATAAACTGCAGAACTTTATGATAAAGTGTATCACATTGCTTTGCAATTTTTCATCTTTGAAACCTTACCTTATACTCTGCCACTAATCCATCGAGCAGTTGCAAACACCTACCCCCCCAGTTTTTAAACAGCAACTTGCCAAAGTTTGCTCCCCCTCCCCCCAAATATGAAATCCCCCTTCCACTGCATAGGCTGAGCAACACACAGTCGCAGATCAATGACAGGCTTAAGATCAGGGGTCTCAAACTCAATTTACCTTAGGGCCAGTGCCAGTCCTCAAATCCTCCCAGCGGGCCAATAATATCACTCATGCCACCCAGAACCCAGCCCCCAAAACTCCGCCCTCCCAAAACTCCACCCCCCACCTGCCTAAGGCTCTGGGAGGGAGTTTGGGTGGGGGAGGAGGTCTGGTTTGAGAACTGGTTAAAAGACAGGGAACAAAGGGTAGGAATAAATGGTAAATTTTCAGAATGGAGGGGGTAACTAGTGGTGTTCACCAAGGGTCAGTCCTAGGACCAATCCTATTCAACTTATTCATAAATGATCTGAAGAAAGGGGTAAACAGTGAGGTGGCAAAGTTTGCAGATGATACTAAACTGCTCAAGATAGTTAAGACCAAAGCAGACTGAAGAACTTCAAAAAGATCTCACAAAACTAAGTGATTGGGCAACAAAATGGCAAATGAAATTTAATGTGGATAAATGTAAAGTAATATACATTGGAAAAAATAACCCCAACAATATATACAATATAATGGGGGCTAATTTAGCTACAACTAATCAGGAAAAAGATCTTGGCGTCATCGTGGATAGTTCTCTGAAGACATCCACGCATTTTGCAGCGGCAGTCAAAAAAGCAAACAGGATAGGAAAACAACAAGGAGTCCAGTGGCACCTTAAAGACTAACAGTTTTATTTGGGCATAAGCTTTCGTGGGTAAAAAGCCCACTTCTTCAGATGCATAGAGTGAAAATTACAGATGCAGGCATTATATAATGACACATGAAGCGAAGGGAGTTACCTCACAAGTGGAGAACCAGTGTTGACAGGGCCAATTCGATCAGGGTGGATGTGGTCCACTCCCAATAATAGATGAGGAGGTGTCAATTCCAGGAGAGGCAAAGCTGCTTTTGTAATGAGCCAGCCACTCCCAGTCCCTATTCAAGCCCAAATTAATGGTGTTAAATTTGCAAATGAATTTTAGTTCTGCTGTTTCTCTTTGAAGTCTGTTTCTGAAGGTTTTTTTGTTCAAGTATAGCTACTTTTAAATCTGTTATAGAATGTCCAGGAAGACTGAAGTGCTCTCCTACTGGCTTTTGTACGTTACCATTCCTGATGTCCGATCTGTGTCCATTTATGCTTTTTTGTAGGGACTGTCCGGTTTGGCCAATGTACACAGCAGAGGGGCATTGCTTGCACATGATGGCATATATCACATTAGTAGACGTGCAGGTGAATGAGCCCTTGATGGTGTGGCTGATGTGGTTGAGTCCCTCTGGGGCACCTGGCATTGGCCACTGTCGGTAAGACAGGATACTGGTCTGAATGGACCTTTGGTCTGACCCAGTATGGCCATTCTTATGTTCTTATGGGGTAGGGGATTGGGGTGCAGGCTCTGGGAGGGAGTTTGGGAGTTGGAGGGGGTATGTGGGGAAGGGGTGGGGGTGCAGGCTCTGGGAGGGAGTTCTTACCTGGGGCTCCAAGGCTGGACGGGACGGGGGGGCCTCCGTGTGCTGCTCTGCTGCACTGCCGGGGCCCCAGGCCATTTTAAATCACCTGGGGTGGGGGGGAGCGCCCGGAGGTGGCAGGTGGGGCCACGGGAGAGACCCAGCCCCAAAATTGCTGGAGCCCCGCGGGCCACATTGGGGAGGTTTGCGGGCCACAAATGGCCCGCAGGCCGTGAGTTTCAGACCCCTGCTTAAGATGAAATAGCTCGTCACTTTCCATGGCTAGATATGGGTGCTTTAGTCCATTGGAAAGAGGAGTGTACAAGATAATACTGGCCCTTTGAGCTATAAAAGAGGATGCCTGGGGAAGAAAGAGATCTGGTGAGAGAGTTCTCTGCAGCCCTCCCTGGAACAAGGGAGGAATTATCAGGGAGCCAAGTGGAGGGGTTAGCCAGTGCCTGGAGGCTGAAAAGGGTGGAGACCCGGGAAGACTGGCCGGCTGACCTTCCTGAGATGAAGGGCCACAGCCAGGAGACTGATTATGGTTCTGGGAGAAGGCTGAAGGCAGAAGAGCAGCAAGAGGGGTTAGCTGGCTGGTGACCCCAAGTCAGAGCCAGGTCTAGAGGGGCCTGAAGGCCAGGGAACAGCAGAAGGAGTTGCCTCTAAGCCAGAAAGCCATAGCCAAGGGCCAGAGAGGGCTGATGGCAGGGAAGCACCAGAGGAGCTTATCTACTTTCATCTCCAGGGGCGGAGAGCTGGACCCACAGGAAGTGTGAGATGGCCAGCAGGAGTGAGGGATGCTCTCCTGGTAAAGACCATCTCTCAGCAGTCAGGCTGTGAGGGTTCCCACTGGGAAGGGCAGGGTTGCACTCCAGCTGGAAGGGCTGGAGTGGCTGTCCAGAGACAAAACAGGACAGTGTCCGGATATGGCTGAAGGTGCCATGGTGTTGTACATTGGGCATCATGAGATGAGATGTCGGGTGATCGTAATGATTATTTGCACTGGGAATAATGAATGGATTTTATTTTGCACATGGTTTAATAATAAATCAATCCCAAGGAGGGGTGTTATTGAGAGAGAAGAGCCTGAGAAGTGAAGTTATTTGGTTACCTGAGAGGGGAAACTGAGGCAGGGCACACATGCCAGGGCTTGCATGGGGAGCGGGCACTCTAGGTGGGGCTGCTCTATGATAAGGAGATTCCCAGGTTTTCTGATGTAACGTAATACTTGCTACTAGCCCTGGAAGGGCTCAGGATACTGTATCTTAAAACAGTCAAATGGGAAATCATTTTTAGGGCACTGTTAGAGGTTTTTTAAAACCAATCTGTTAAAATCTTCCAGTCCTGGCCTCGTACTCAGGAAACTTGGGGATTCAATTCCCGCCCTGCCACAGACCTCCTATGTGACCTTCAGCAAGCCTGTCTGTGCTTTAGCTCCCCACATGTGAAGTGAAGATCTCATCACTTTTCAAACACGGGGTGAGGATAAATACCTGAGTATTTGGGAAGCACTGAAACACTAATAAGGTAAGTAATTGGACTCATGGTAATGGAGGCATTTTGGCTTTACAGGTGAAGGAATACAACAAATACTCAAAATAATACTTTAAAACTTCTCTAAAACATTTCTGACAATTTTTGTGAAAAGTATGCACCCTAAACAGAATACATAGTGAAATGCTGTAAAGATTTTACTGGCACTGGTTTGGGATGACCCATATAACTCACTCGTAGCTCGTGAGTAGTGCAGCCATCTCAAACTCAGGATGTTAAAATATACCACAGCATCATGTCTATAATAATGAAAGGCCCTGAACTTTTAAACACTTCATATGCCTAACAGTAAGTCTGCAATATAACCCTAACCATTTAAAATCATGAGTCAGACCATCCAAAAATCGTGAGATTTAAAAAAAAAAAGGATTAGATTTTTGTGTTGTTTTTAAATTTGCTTTCTTGTTTTTGAGCTTTTGAATGAAGCACTTGCCACCAAAAATATAAGTGATCATTTCAGGTTCAAAATTCAAGCTTAAAGCACATGCAGAAATGCAGACCTCCCTGCTGGTTGCTCAGAAAGACACTCTGCTAACTCTTTCCAATCTCTTGGGGGGTGGTATGGGGGTGTGGATGTGTGTCTAGCTGACAGAAGACTTTCACTTCCCCCCACCTTACTGCTATCCTGTCTGTCTCTCCTCCGTTCCCCTTATAGCTATTCTGTCTCTCTCTTTCTCTTCCTCCTGGTCTTCCTCTCACTTCCCCACTAAGACTCTTGTCCCACTCACATTCTCCCTCCACACTCCCCACCACCAGTTCTTCTGTCCCTCACTTGCCTGCCTATATCCCTCCCCTTCCCTTTATAGAGTCTTACCATTCATACTTTCCCTCTCTGCCATCCCTTACTTATTTTTAGAGGTAAGCATGAGAGTGCGTGTTTCCAGGCCTAAATTTGGAATCAGAACTATTGGATCTTTGATGATACAAAGTGTTACCGTTTGTCTGCAGATTGGGCAACGGATGGCACCCAGCCACGAGCCATACCTCCAGTATGCAATAATGCAGGCACCTAATGGAGGTAAATATCAAAAGCTGTAATGATTTAAATTTTAGATTTTTAGACGTTTTTGATTTAAAACAATTATTTCAGCAAGAAAAACAGTAATATTATATTAAAATATTAGGCTCAAATACTTTAGGCCTAACTGGTTGTTTTTATATAATATGAACTTCAGATACTAAAACCAAATTTATCCAAATTCCAAATTTAATTAATAAATTCTGATCCAATTCAATTTCAACATTAACTTCGATAGCAGGGTGGACAAACAAATAAAAAAAATTGAGTTTATATTTTAAAAATAAACGTGTTTAAAATTAAATTTGAAATTGACAACTCCAAACTTTTAAAAATCATTTAAAATAAACATAAAAATAATATTAAGCAGTACATGTTTGCTGCCACTTTTTGAAGAAAGTAAAACCACAGAACAGTGGAAGTCACGGCTAAGCTGGGGTGGGCGAACTGCCGGCCCGCCAGCTGTTTTAAGCCAGTCCTTGAGCTCCGCTCCAGTGCTCCAGCCAGGGAGCAGGGTCGGGGACCAGAAGCTCCCGGAAGCCATGGCAGTGCTTTAACGTGGCTCTGTAGTCGCGCTGCTCCCAGCACTGTAAAAAACCCACCTCCACGAGGGGAGTAGCTCCCAGTGCTAGTGCACGGTCTACACTGCCACTTTACAGCGCTGAAACTTGCATCGCTCAGGGTGGTGTTTTTTCACACCCCTGAGCGAGAAAGTTTCACCGCTGTAAAGTGGCAGTGTAGACAAGGCCTTAGTGTAAAGGCTATGGTTAACTGAAAATCAACATGTTTTAATATCGGGGGTAGCCGTGTTAGTCTGTATCCACAAAAACAACAAGGAGTCCAGTGGCACCTTAAAGACTAACAGATTTATTTGGGCATAAGCTTTCATGGGTAAAAAACCCGCTTCTTCAGATGCATGGAGTGAAAATTACAGATGCAGGCATTGTTATACTGACACATGAAGAGAAGGGAGTTACCTCACAAGTTTTAATAGCTAACAACTAATAAAAATCAACTTTTCTTTAGGAAAATAACTAAAAAGTACAAATGCAGAACACAATTAGTATAGATTATTTAAATAAAGATTTTCAGCTTACTGGTTCGAATTATGATTAAACTGGGTGATTTAAATTACATTGACTTAAATCAATCCATCCCATATATATTAATTGAGAAGTCAAAAAGCTTCTGCATCATTGTAATTGGAAAATAATTAGTTTTAAAAGCCTTTACCAAGGTAAAGTTTAGCTGGGAAAACTACAAGAAATATAATTTCAGTTTGTAAAAAAGCCCTAATGTTTCAAGCTCTGAAATTGCATAGGTTTTCAGGTCTCTGAAAAAATTTGAATTCTTTTAATCTTTTCCAAGTCTGCTCCAACTAACTTTTCTCCATGAACAGATAATGTATAAGTTATAAGCCCCATGGATACTAGATGAAGTCAGATAAAGAATCCCTGTTTGAGAATCTCAAATGTTGGGAATCTGAAGGAGGGGAAATCAAAATGATAAACATAATGTAACAAAATAAAATTACATACTTTTACCCCTACAGATGCCTCAAGTAAGCCAAGGATGTGAACGTTGCAAGTTTTAGCACAGTTCTTCAAGATTTCAATTTTTCAGTGTAAACATGGTGTCCTTGATGAGGACACCAACCAGAGTTTTGCTATTTTTTTTTTTTTTTACAAGTGTTTACAAAACTGCCACCTCAGCTCCTCCAATTTTATTTTAAAAAATGTTTTCAGTTAATTCTGTTTTTCCCAAGTTTAGAAACTTTAAGGATACAGAGTCAAATATATTTGCAGAGGAGTGGAAATTTTGATTTCAAACCTGGTAGCACAGAAAAAAATACTTTAGAATGTAATTTTAGACACTGATTGTCGTTGTTTTTGCTGATACAGACTAACACAGCTACTATTACCAGACACTTTCTCAAAAAGTTATACATAAAGTTTTGTTTTTAATAGTGTTATTCTACAAACAAAAAAGTTTTTCTCTTCAGCTCAAGTTAAGGATACTTTAGAAATGGTTACTCAACCTGTATAGTAACTGTGGTTCTTCGAGGCGTGTCCCCCTATGGTGGTCCACTGGAGGTGCGCTAGCGCCCCCTGTGCCTTTGATCAAAGATTTCTCATAGCAGTGTCTGTTTGGCCGGCGCATGTGTGCTACTCAGCCCCGTGCCCTGTGCCATTGTTATATAGCACTGGGTGGGTGAACTGCCCTCAGTTCCTTCTCTACCACCAAGCTCCACAGCAGAGAACTCCAAAGTAGAGGGGAAGGAGGGCTGGTACTGGAGCACTTGTAGGGATACAAATCTTGAAGAACCTCAGTTACTGCACACTGAGAATAATCATTTTTTCTTCTTCCAATAGTGTCCCTATGGGTGCTCCACTCTAGGTGACTACCAAGTAGTTCCCTCTAAGGCAGCATTGGGCGGGGGGCTTCAGAGTCAAATTTAGCACAGAAGAAAGTACAGCTGAGCCAAACAGTATTAGAAGCAGAGTTGTAAGTTACTGTGTAGTGTTCGGCAAATATATGTATAGACACCCAAGTAGCAGCATTACATATTTCAATAATGGGCACGTTTTTGAGGAATGCTGCAGAGATGGAAATGGACCTTGAGTGAGTACCTATGTTCAAAGTGTTCCTTAGAGGTTTTTAAGGTCAGGCTTGACAAAGCCCTGGCTGGGATGATTTAGTTGGGAATTGGTCCTGCTTTGAGCAGGGGGTTGGACTAGATGACCTCCTGAGGTCCCTTCCCACCCTGATATTATGATTCTATGATTACAAGATTTGTAGCAAGAATTACTGCAGCCAGATAGCTACTTAGAAAGTCTTTGACTACAAACTGCAGACTGTTTTGATCTATCTGCAAGTGAGACAAACAATTTGAGGGTCTTTCTGAAGGGTTTAGTCCTAACCAGACAGAAGGCCTAACATCAAGGGTGTGCAACAATGCTTCTTGATTATCTAGGTGAGATTCAGGGTGGAAAACTGGCAGGTGAATGGATTGGTTAATATGGAACTTGGAAGAAACTTTAGGTAAAAATTTTGGATGAGGTCACAGCATGACCTTGTCCTTAAAAAATACTGTGAAAGGGGGGGAATGCCATAAGGACCCCTATTTCCCAAACCCGTTGCGCTGATGTGATGGCTTTCAGGAATACCACTTTCCTTGATAAATGGAGCTGTGAGCAGGTAGCCATCAGTTCAAACAGTGGTCTTGCGAGGCATTTAAGGACCAGGTGGAGGTCCCAAACAGGAGTAGGGTGTTTGACTGGCAGATAGAGATTTCCTAGTCCCCGGATGAACCTCGCTGTCATGGGATGGGGAAAAATGGAATAACCCTGTATTGGAGAGTGGAAAGCCATGATGGCCACCAGATGGGCTCTAATGGAGCTCAGCGATAGTCCCAAACTTTTTAGTGTTAGGATGTAGTCCAATAAATCTGGCAGCGATGAGGTCATTGGTGGAATATGTCTATGGTCACACCAAGAAAGAAATCTTGTCCATTTTTGGAAGTATGTGTCGCAGGTAGACTGTTTCCTGCTGTGTTATAGAATTCTTTTTACTTCCTCTGAGCAGGTTGTCTCTAGTCCCATGAACCATCGGCCAACCACGCTTTGAGATGAAGGACTGCAAGACTGGGGTAAAGGATCATCCTGCCTTCCTGGGAGAGGAGATGAGGAACAGCATGGAGAGTGATCGGAGATCCAATGGCCAGCTGTGTCAGGCAAGGAAAACATGTTCGTCTGGGACAGGTTGGAACTATTAGGGTACTCTGGTTTTGTCTTTTTTTTTTACTTTGAGGAGAACTAGCGGAATTGGTGAGAATGCGTACAAGAGATTCAACCATCAATGAAGGTGAAAAATACCTCCAGAGATCTGTGACCCAGTTTGCCTCTTGAGCAAAACTGAGCACAAAACTGTGGCGAAAAAAGTCTATCTGAGAGGTGCCCCGCTGACAGAATATGTGGTATAATATGTTGTAGCCTATTTCCCACTTGTTGTCTTGGAAGAAGTGCCTGCTGAATACATCCAGGGTCACATGCTGAATCCTTGGTCTGTGATGAAGACCTGGTTGTGTATGCACCAATTCCAAAGCTTGACTGCCTTGATGCAGTGGGATCTTGTGCCTCCTTGCTGATATAAAATATGCATGATTTTATGCAAACAAATCCTGCATCCTTGCGGTGATTATGTGATTGCCTGATTAGTGGCAAAACCTGGAGACAGGAGTATCTAACCGCTCTGAGTTCCAGGATGTTGACGTGTTGACTTGCGACATCTACTTGACCTGGATCTAGATGTGCTCCCCACCACAGCAAAGAGGTTTCTTTGACAACCGCTGCGGGGAGAATGTGCAAATTGGACTTCTGCGCACATGTTGTGATGGTCTTTCCACCAAAGTTGAGGGATTGTTTTATGCAGGTGGGCATGGAAAGATGCAGGTTTAAACTGTGTCGGTTTGGTGAATAAACAGTCCTCAGCCACCCGATGGCAATGCATTCGGAATCTTGCGTGGTCTCTGACAAAGGTACAGTAACTCCTGACTTAACGTTGTAGTTATGTTCCTGAAAAATGCGACTTTAAGTGAAACGATGTTAAGTGAATCCAATTTCCCCATAAGAATGAATGTAAATGGGGGGGTTAGGTTCCAGGGAAATTTTTTTTTGCCATACAGTATAGTACTATAGTTGGGAGGTGTCCCCGCCTTACCCCACACAGGCACAGACCACTGGCACTGCAGACAATGAGGCAGGCAAGGAGGCTGAAGGTGCTGTAGGCTAGGAGAAGCACGTTGCACAGCAGCAGCAGCAGCTTCCCCTACTCTGGAAGCACCAGGGGTGGGGGGCTCAACCCTCGGCCTGCCCACGCCACCCCTTCCCCCAAGCCCCCACCCTTAACCGCCTCTTCTTCCCCCCTCCTCCCCCTTTACTCCGCACACCGCATCCTCCCCTGCCTCCTGCCCATGGCAATCAGCTGGCTTGCAGCGTTCAGGAGGGAGGGGGGAGGAGCGAGGACACGGGGCGCAGGTGCCCCCTCTCTCCCCTGCCTCCTGAAAGCCGCAAGCCAGCTGATTGCTGCGGGCAGGAGGCGGGGGGAGGACGCTGATCCGCGGGGTCTGCCGGTGGGCGGGAGGCGCTGGGGGGGACGGGGACGCATAGGGGAGCTGATGGGGGGCTGCTGGCTGTGGACAAAGCTGGCAGCCAAACGATGTTATAGCGAAGCATTGCACAACTTTAAATGGAGCATGTTCTGTAACTGAGCAGGGACGCAAGATCGAAACAACGTTAAGCGAGAGGACATTAAATGGGGAGTTACTGTACTGGCTGCCATGTGCCCTAACAACTGAAAACAGTTCCTGATCAGGGGGCTTGATCAGTATGGGTGCTTAGTTGAATTGTACTGGCTTTTTTGGAAAGGGCCACAAACCTATCCAGAGGAATGTAGGCTCTTGCTGCTACTGAATCAAGATAAGCTCCTATGAATTCTAAGTTTTGCACAGTGGTCAAAATGGATTTTTTAACATTCAATTGCAGGCCCAACTTGAAGAGATCTATAACCTCAGAAGTCAGGGCAGATGACAGGCCGAAAAGGAGCACCTGATACAGAAGGGCTTCGCTGACAGGCAAAGCTATGTGGGCAGATGAGGGCGAACGAAGGATAACAAGCAGCGTATGACGAGGTTCTTTAACTTCCTCGAGTTAATTGCAAGGAGTCAGCAATTCTCTTGACCAGATCCTGGAACTGCTTAAAATTATCCGCCAAGGAAGGAGGACGACGAATGAGCGCTTCATCTGGACATGAAGAGGAGATGTTGGCCATAGGAGAGACTTCATCATCGGCTCTAGCTTCCTGCTCCTCGAAGGCTTCTTCTTGAGGATCAGGTCTCCTAGCGGGAGCAGGCAATGCAGGCTGCCTCTCTGCAACGGGTGGTGCTTGATGTCTTGGAATATTGTTGACGATAGGCTGCCCAAGGGTCCCAATGTGGCCAAGGAGGTGGTGCATAAGGCATAGAAGGCACCCATGGGTGCTCATACCAGAAAGATGGTGCTTGCAATCTTGTGCCACAAGTGGTTATAGGCTCATCAGAGACCTCTGGAGAGAGCCCTGAACTGATATTTGGGACACCAAGGCAAGGTCTTTATCAGAATCCTCATCCTCAAGCCCACTCTGGAATGGTGGAGTGCCTGAAGAAATTTGAGGTGAAACGGTCAGTATCGGGCGAACTTCAGGCAATCTCGATGTCCTCGGTACCAAAAGAACATAGGAGCCGAGCAACGGAGAATCGGGCATCTCAGATGCAGCCAGGTTTTGGGGAAAATGGAAGTCCTGCAGCACCAAGCATGCTGTCGGTACCAAGCCTGTAATCTGCACTGAGGTGATGGTGGCTGAGGCTGCTGACAGTACCTTGGGTCTCAGGCACTCCGAGAGAAGTGTGGTTGGAGCCCGAATGGGCTTCTTCGGTTCCAATGAAGCAGAGGAAGAGCTCTTCTTGCCACCTCGGTATGCTAATGGTACCAATGATTTCTCCGGGCCCAAGGCTTTTCTGTCTTTTGGTCTAGTGGTGCCCTGAGGAACCAGAAGCCTCGTGGGTACATAACTGGAGAGCAGATGGTGGTGAAGTGGCTGAAGACACCAACGACCTCAGCTTTTTACCTGGTGAGCCTCAGGCATGGTCCTTGGAGGACTTAGGAGATGGGTCTTGCGTCTTCCTCTTAGATGCCCTGGAGGAGTGTGGCTCAGACAGAGAGGAGGCAATAGAATTGCTGGGAGACTGGCGGACTGGGGGTCCCCTGGGCCTGGGTCAGAAGTTGGGCATAGAGAGCTCTCCGTTATGAGGAGACGAAGTTTTCTCTCTCTGTTTTTTCTGGCTCCGAATTTCAGTGCCAGACAGAACTTCCACTTCTGGGTGATGAGTAATACCACTAGGAAACAGATGCAGCAGTAGTGCCCGTCGCTTACTGGGATTGCCTCCCGGCACAACAGACCATGTGTGAAACCGGGAGAACCAGGCATAAGCTCCCAGTGCACAAGAACTACCTTATCTACTAACCAATATCTATCTAAATATATATAAGAATATATTTTTTTGACTAGGAAGCTAAAGCTACTACTACTTACTAACTAATTACACTATCGCTAAGAACTACTACAAATAGCTACTAGAATAAGAAATGAAGACAAAGTTGAGGAACCTCAATGGGGACAACTGCCAGAGCTCCGTCTCAGGCTGAGGCGGTTGAGAAGGAACTGAGGGCAGTTCGCCTGTGCAGTGCTATATAACAAGGCACAAGGTGACTAGCAGGCATGCACAGGCCGAATAGACACAGCTATGAGAAATCTCTGATCAAAGGCTCAGGGGGGCGCTAGCACACCTACGGCAGAGCACCCATAGAGACGCTACTTGAAGAAGAATCCATAGGTTCTGAGGCTATTTAGAAGAGATGGTGAGTGACAATAAACTTTTACTTCTAAAGCATGTCAAATAAAATCTCAATCACAATCTCTTTCTAGAAGGTTTTTAATAAACTAAGGTAAACAAGACAACTTCATGCACTACACTGTTACCCAAGAACCTCAGTTTACAAATATTCTTCAGAAATGAGTCATCGGGAGAGTAATTTTCATTAACTTTTGGAGCACCACGTATGAGTATATTCATTTGGGTTACCCTTCCCCACTGCCTCTTTCCTTCTGCCTCTCCATAACTAAACAAGATCCCTGACAAATCAGGCACGAGTTTGCAACGTGCTAAGGAGGAAAAGTGTAATATGTCTGTGCTATATACGTATATGTATGCAAAGGCCTCAAGGTACACAGGAGGATGGCAGTAGCCCCTCTCTATGGGTATGTCTACAAGCTGTGTTGCAGTAGCATAGACACTACAGCAACGGAAGGGGCTGTCACTGTAATGAATCCATCTCTTCGAGAGGCGGTAGCTAGGTTGACAGCCAGGTTGCGACCTCACTACATTGCACAGAGCATGACATTTTTCACAGCCATGAACAAGGTAGCTAGATCGACCTACGTTTTAGGTGTAGCCAAGCCCTACGTGGCTCTGATAAGAGCACAGCTGGAATAATGTACTTAAACTCGACTACTTCTACTCAAAACCAAGCCTTAGGGCTTGTCTACATGGACACTAAGTCTGCAGCAAGCTGAAGTGTAAATCTACCCTGTACTAGTGTGCTGCACACTAAGTACCTGTCTGGCCGCTGCAGCTGCGCACTAACAATTGCCTAGCGTTTCTGATCTACCCTGCTTTGAAACAGGGGTCGATCAGTGTGCATTAGACTAGGGAACTGTTAGGGCATGGCAGTAGTGACCAGACGGACAGTATGTGACACACTAATGAGGGGTAAATTAACTCCCCAGCTTGCTGTGGACTAAGGGCTGGTCTACACTTAAAACTTAGGTTGACCTTGATACGTTGCTCAGGGATGTGAAAAATTTCACATAGGGTTGCCAGATGTCCAGTTTTTGACCGAAACACCCAATTGAAAAGGGCCCCTGGTGGCTCCGGTCAGTCCCGTTAAAAGTCCAGTTGGCAGGCTCCCTACCCAGCTCCAGGGAAGCTGCAACATGTTCCTCCAGCTCCTAGGTGCAGGGGCAGCCACGGGGGCGCCGCACTCTCCCCCTCCCTGCGCACCGGCTCCGCAGCTCCCACTGGCTGGGAACCGTGGCCAACAGGAACTGCAGGGGCAGCACCTCTGGGTCAGGAGCTTTGAAATGAGGAAGGAAGGGGAGGTTCTGTCCTCAGAGAGGTGTGATCTGCCCTGATCATCTCAATGGGATGTTAACTCAACAAACTAGTGGTGATGATAGTTTAAATGTCAGAATTTTTAATTTTCTCTGCTGATCATTTCTACTTACCACAGAAAAGATGTCCACAGTTTGTTTCAATGGGAAACGTAGCCTGCTGTAAACAGACTGGACAGGACATGTCAGTATAGAAACGATGTCTATCACCAGCAGATGCATCCTGTTGGGACAAAAAAGAGAGACAAATTGTTCAGGAATTAACTTCAATTTAGAAGACCACTTGAGTTTTAAAAAACCCAGAATATATTCTCTACTTGCTAGAAGTCAGACACAGATGACTCAAACTTAAAACTAAATAAGAGCAGGAATAGAATAATATTTAAATAGAAAAATTAATTCAGTAAGCAGGTGCTTGTGTAACAAGCACATTATTTTCTTCCATCTGTTCTATATAGCATACACTTCAATCTAATTAAGGACAATGAAAATAAAACCTTGTGATCCTATATTTAACAAACAGAACCCTTTATTTTAGGTGCACTGAAGTGTGAGTGATGCTCAAAAAAACTAGCTTCCAATTCACTACTCACAAAAGCCTGTCTATACTAGGCAAGAGGCAATGCATCAGCGTTAGCTATAAGAAGAAATTTTGGCCCGGGCCCTATTGTAGAAGCAGCCTATGTACCTCTTCATGACAAGCTCAGACGGTGGATAGTTAACTTTGAAGTTTAACAATTCCAGCATGTTGGAATTGGCTAATCCTTGGATTCCTTCCATGGTTCTGTCACAGGCATCCCAGTCTAGACTCTCCTGTTCCCATATGTGTCAGGGAAGGGGCCAATGCCTTTAGCTGGCTTGAGTGGCTCATCAACCCAGCTCACTGGGCCTTGGCTGCTGTGCTATTTTCTAGGAAGCTTAGCTTGTTAGTCTAAATGCTTCTGGTCCCTGCTCCATAGCTGCAAATTGGACTCCACATTTGACTTCCTGACCCCCTACTGCCAGGCTCTATGTTACTGTGCAGGGAGCATGCACTGTAATCTAACTTACGTTCCCTTGTGGGGAAACTTGGAACTGTCCTGTTCTCAGGGCCAGCTCTAGGTTTTTTGTCGCCCCAAGCTCCGAGAGTGTAACTGCCCAAGCAAGCAAGCAAAAAAAGAATGGCCAGAAAACTGCCCCTGGAATTGTGCCGCCCTAAGCACGTGCTTGCTTTGCTGGTGCCTAGAGCCGGTCCTGCCTGTGCTTCTTTAAGGCTCTTCTGAAAGAGATTATGGATTCCAGTTTGAGAAACAGGGGGATAGATCTGACAGGCCCTTTCAAATTTATCTATGACCTAAAATTGAAAGGGGTTATCATGATATCCATACAAGAAATTTGTCACTTCATCAATAGCTAAAGTTAGTTTTGATAAGTCTATCTGCAGCGAATGGAGTTTATGCAATGGACATGAACACATTTTCTTTTTCTAGAATGACCTGTTTCAGAATTTTTTTAAACTTTAGCAGTAAAGGAGCAACAGATCTACACCACACATTATTACACAGATGGACATTTCCAACATCTAGTACGGTACCTGGTCTGTTTGAAGCTGCTGCCGAAGTGCCCTCACTAGCTCTTGGTTGTCTGGATGAATGTTCTGGTGCTCATTTCTGTGAGAGGGGAAAAAAGTGAAAGAACAATGACTGTCAGAACACAGAAAAACAAAGTTTTAAAAACAAAGTGATTTAAAAAATAAAACTTGAAACTGAGGGGGAAAAAATCATTCACTCTCAGTGTAATGGATTTTTAAGAAAATTCCAGCGTAATTAAGGAAACTGCATGATTGATATGTTTCAAAAGGTTTCACTGATATTCTAAGCCATGTGGCACTGTGACGTTTCATCAAAGGAAAACACTCTTCTTATGACCAATCATCAAGAACAGCTTTGGCTGAAAATTATCAGTTTTAATAAATGAAAACAAAATCATTATTGTGTAAAAAATCAAGTTACTTGTAAATATATGTTAGTTAACTCAGAAATAAGAGTTATAATATTTTTTTTCTTTCCATTGGTAAGTCCTTTGTTGCTGGAAACAATTATGACAATTGTTTTTTCCTTCGCTTGGCCCCGTCCCCCAGAGCAGGCTGTGGCTGCACTGCCCGGCCCGCCGGAGCACGCTGCGGCCGTGCCGCCCGGCCCGCTGGAACATGCTGTGGCCACGCCACTCGGTCAGCCTGTCGGAGCAGGCTGAGGTCGCGCTGCCCATCCTGAGGCCGCGCTGCCCAGCCTGCCGGAGCAGCTCCAGCCAGGCCAGAGACATCCTCTCCTGCCCCTCCCCAGATAAGGTGGGAAGGGATGGGATGGGGAGAATGTGGGGGTCCCGGGCTAGGGGTGGGGTCATGTGGGGGGTGGTCACAGGGGTTACTCCCCTGACTCCCAGCTTCTCCCCCACAAAAAATTTCCCCACCAGTTGCTGTCCCGGCCTGTCAGGGTAAGCAGCTGGCGCACCGGGACCCTTTGTTTACTTAGGTTTACCTCCGTGCCTGCGGATGCTCGAGGTAAACAAACCATCTTGGCCCACCGGCGGCTTATACTGATGGCCCAGGAGCCAAAGTTTGCTGACCTCTGAATTATAGGGTCGGCTTATGAACGGGTTATACAAATTTTCCATTTTTACTTATCCATCTTGGAGGGGTCGGCTTAAAAACGAACCAGCTTATGCTTGAGTATATACAATACTTAAAAGGAGAATCAGAAGAAAGGGCTGCACTGAGGACTGATGAGAAATGGGAGGAGATAAACATTCATCACTTTTTCCCAGACTTGAGCAGGCCACATGGAAATCTTTCTGTATCAATGTGGTGTCATTAAGCTCAGCTAAAAATCTTCTACAAGAGATAACAGAATTTTCAGAATTATATTGAGTATTGTTGAAGTTGCAAAGAAGTTCCATTATGAGTCCGTTTTCATTTGCTCTGTATTTTCTAAAACATTTACCTTTTGGGATGAAACTGCAGTGTTTGGTGTTTACTCAAAGGTGAATTTTTTTTTGAAAGTTTGAGCAAAATTCTGTGTGTGTGTGTTTGTTTTTTTTAAAGTTTGGCCATGTTGAAAAACAACACACATTTCCCATTTTAGTAGTACCTTTGCTTGGTTTTGGAAAAAGATGAAAAATTAAAGCAAACTAAAATCTAAGCAACTGAAATATTGCTAGTGAGCATGCTACATGGGAATCTGCTAAGATTTTTAGCTGAGCCTAACAAAGAGCTACTCCATCTCTGACACCTTAGTGCACCGTCACCCTGCCGAGGTGCCTGGCAGAACTGCTGTTCTCCCCGCACAATGGGCTGGAAGGGACAGGACTATTGTCCTAGGATACTCCTGGGGAATTCTGCACCACTGCGCAATGCAGAATCTTGCAGAAATTAATATTGTGTGTGCAGAATTACCTTTCCCCCACAGAAATGGGGTTAGCTGCTAGCCGCCACTAGGGGCCACTGGACTCAGCAGAACCTAACTTGCACGTAGAAGACACTGTCCGTGAGAGGAGGGGGAGCTGGAGGGTTCCCGGCAGCTGCAGTTCCCAGCGTACCTTGAGGGAAGGAGAGGGCGGCGCAGGAAACTTCCTGCAAGCCTGGGACCGAGCATCAGGCTGTTTCTCCCTCTGGATCCCTGGGCTCTGGCAGGGAGGGAGCAAGTGTCTGGGCAAAGGGGTGTCCCACAGCTGGGCTCTGGGGAGGAGGGGTTGTGGGTGTCTGGCCCCCCGGCTGGGCTCTGGGGGAGGATGGGATGCAGGTATCTGGGCTGGGGAGCCCCTGCGGTTGGGCTCTGGGAAAGAGGTTTTCTGGGTGTCTGGCTCCCTGGCTGGGCTCTGGAGGGGGCAGGGGGGAAGGGAAAGAGAAACAGGAACTGGGTTGTTAGAGAGGTTTCTTTAACTCTCTACTCCTGGGGGAATTTGTGTGTGTCTCTGTATTGTTACAGACATACTTGCTGACAGGTATTTTGAAATAAATTATCAAAATAATTGAATCTGGCATGATTATGTAGCTAAATAGGAGCTCCCAGTGTGACTCTTGACAAAAGTGCTAACATGTTCTGGGACATATAAACAGGGCAACCTTAAGTGGGAGTAGAGATTACTTTACCTCTATATTTGTTACTGGTGTGACTGCTGCTGTAATACTGTGTCCAGTTCTGATGCCAACAATTCAAGAAGGATGTTGATAAATTGGAGAAGATTCACAGAAGAGCCAAGAGAATGATTAAAGGATTAGAGAACCTGCCTTATCGTGATAGACTCAAAGAGCGCGGTCTTATTAGGTTAACAAAGAGAAGGTTGAGGGTGACATGATTACAATCTATAAATATCTACATGGGGAACAAATATTTAATAATGGACTCTTCAATCCAGCAGAGAACCAATAGCTGGAAGTTGAAGCTAGACAAATTCAGACTGGAAATAAGGCATACATTTTTAACAGCGAGGGTAATTAACCATTAAATCAATTTATTAAGGGTTGTGGTGGATTCTCCATCATTGACCATTTTTAAATCAAGATTGGCTGTTTTTCCTAAATATCTGCTATAGGAATTATTTTGAGGAAGTTCTATGGCCTGTGTTCACAGGAGATCAGACTAGACGATCACAATGGTGTCTTCTGGGCTTGAAATCTATGAATTGTTTACAACATAATTATACACCCAAATTTTTTTCCAGGAAATACTCATTCTGGAACTCTAATTTTTATTTATATTTCTTTAAAGTGGACATTTCCCCAATGGCTCTATGAACTTTTGCAGTTTTGCATACCTGACTTTGCAATTTTAGCATCTTATTAGTGTAGTTTTTAGCATTTAACAGCTTATGTATTCTTTCAGAAATAAATGAAAATGGCTTGCAGAGTACTTGCATGCTTGGCGATACACAATAATGTACAGTTTTACAACATTAGATATACATATATAGCCTATTGTCCCTTTTACACAAGGTTCTCAGTGAATGAGAAAAAGGACATTCACTGTGCAATGTCCACAGAAAATACATCAAGAGCTCCTGAGGAGCCTGCTTTGTTCACAGCATGCCTTATAAGAGGACAGGAAAAATCATGTCTATTATATTGGAATAGACAAGAAATTATATGTGACTATGTAATTAAAGCCTGTTATAATGTATGCATACAAGGAAGCAGAGCGAAGATTAGATGTGCAATCTTTACTTTGAAATTTCTTGAATTTTGAGTGCTTCACCACACAACAGCTTTAACCTTATTTTATTTGTTTAAAAAAAATCCCCATAACCTGGAATGATTCAGTAGCCACCACCAAATGTCATGACTCACAAAATGAAGTGTGGTCTAAATGAGGTAAGAGCTCCTGCTTCATTCAACATGCACTTCCTCCAATGAAAATGAGACAATGCTCATACGGAATCTAATTTACCTATATGGTAACACTGTAATCTCCCCTGTTAAAAAGTAAGTCTCCTTGTAGGTTTCACCTCTTTTGGAAACACTGATGTACGCAATGACTAGATAACGAAGATACTGGAAAGCAGGTTAGATAAGCCATGAGGGACAATTAGGTAGTTTCTGATATAATATTCTAGATTGTTCGGCTCCTTTTAACTTGTTAGATGAGCTAAGATTTCACCATCTCAGCTCTGTCTATTGTGACAACTAACTCTCAGCTTTTAGAGAGGATGGCTGCAAGCTGACTAATTTGTCAAGATTTAGTTACTTATAAAGGCAAACTGACTTAACAAAAGTGTCATTATAATGATGGAATTAAATACTGCAACTCTTGGAAGATTTTAATTTTTTTATCTTTTACTGTTAATAGCTTCTTCTTCAACAGCTCAGACTTTGAATTCATGCATTGATTCTGAACTGTGATTTGTTTTTCTTTAATAAAAAGGGGAAAATCACCACGTCCCTCAAGTTCAATAGACCCTCCCCTTCACATTCCACTTCACATTCCATTTCTGCTCTCAAGGTCCCACTCAAACACACTGTTGCTCCCCATCCTGTACCGCTTCCTAGTGTCTGCTGTTCTTCCCTGGCACCCCTTTTTAACAGTCATGAACCCCACTCCACGCTTCCCAGTCTCCTCTTTCCCATTCTATACTTGCCACATGCCCGTACCCAGTTTTAAATATTTTAAAATAAAATCTCTAAAACTGGATAGGTGCATGAGACAGAGGTATGGATGAGAAGGAGACTGTGGGGAGGGGAATAGATGCAGGGTATGGCAACATGGAGGGGTATGGTGTTGAGACACACGTGAAAGAATATGAGGCTCATGCTCCCCCTCCCCTCCAGTGTTTGGTGGATAAGGAGAGTGGTACCCAAGAGGTTTACAGATTTAGGTGGGGACAATGCTGGAGTCTGGGTAAGGGAGTCAGGGTGCCTACTTTCCTTCAAGCTCAGGACCTGAATCAGCCAAGGATGCTGCTTAATGAAATGCATCCTAGAATACTCAAGGAGCTGACTGAGGAGATATTTGAGCCATTAGCAATTATCTTTGAAAAGTCATGGAAGACAGGAGAGATTCCAGAAAACCAGAAAAGGGGAAATTTAGTGCCTATCTATAAAAAAGGAAATAAGGACAATAAGGAAATAAGCTTAACTTCTGTACCCGGAAAGATAATGGAGCAAATAATGAAGCAAACATCTAGAAAATAATAAGATAAGTAATAATCAGCATGGATTTGTGAAGAACAAATCGTGTCAAATCAACCTTATAGCTTTCTTTGACAGGGTAACAAGCCTTGTGGATGGGGGGAAGCGGCAGACATGGTATAACTTAACTTTAGTAAGGCTTTTGATACTGTCTCACATGACCTTCTCATAAACAAACTAAGGCAATGCAACCTAGATGGAGCTACTATGAGGTGGGTGCATAACTGGTTGGAAAACCGTTCCCAGAGGTTCACAGTCATACTGGAATGGCACAATGAGTGGGATCCCGCAGGGATCAGTTCTGGGTCCAGTTCTGTTCAATATCTTCATCAATGATTTAGATAATGGTATAGAGAGTACACTTACAAAGTTTGCGGACAATACCAAGCTGGGAGGGGTTGCAAGTGCTTTGGAGGATAGGATTAAAATTCAAAATGATCTGGACAAACTGGAGAAATGGTTTGAAGTAAATAGGAGGAAATTCAATAAGGACAAATGCAAAGTACTCCACTTAGGAAGGAACAACCAGTTGCACATATACAAAATGGGAAAAGACTGCCTAGGAAGGAGTACTGCAGAAAGGGATCTGGGGGTCAGAGTGGACCACAAGCTAAATATAAGTCAACAGTGTAATGCTGTTGAAAAAAAAAAAACCACCATCATTCTGGGATGTATTAGCAGGAGTGTTGTAAGCAAGACATGAGAAGTAATTCTTCCACTCTACTCCACGCTGATTAGGCCTCAACTGGAGTATTGTGTCCAGTTCTGGGTGCCACATTTCAGGAAAGATGTAGACAAATTGGAGAAAGTCCAGAGAAGAGCAACAAAAATTATTAAAGGTCTAGAAAACATGACCTATGAGGGAAGATTGAAAAAATTGGGTTTGTTTAGTCTGGAAAAGAGAAGACTGAGAGGGGACATAACAGTTTTCAAATACATAAAAGGTTGTTACAAGGAGGAGGGAGAAAAATTGTTTTTCTTATGTAACCTCTGAGGATAGGACAAGAAACAATGGGCTTAAATTGCAGGAAGGAAGGTTTAGGCTGGACATTAGGAAAAGCTTCCTAACTGTCGGGGTGGTTAAGCACTGGAATAAATTGCCTAGGGAGGTTGTGGAATCTCGATCATTGGAGATTTTGAAGAGCAGGTTGGATAAACACCTGTCTGGGATGGTCTAGATAATACTTAGTCTTGCCAGGAGTCCCTTCCAGTTCTATGATTCACCCTTTAAAGAGTTATGCTGTCTTAAAGACAACCTTAAGCACAGAAGCTCTATGTTTCAATCCAGTTTGCTTCTCCAGCAAATAACCATTTAGGACATGAAGGCAGATCCAGTGTGTGCGTTCTGTACGTAGCCCTTTGCTCTGTACAAGGTATCAAGCTGACTAGCTCCCTTACCCAGGCCATCAGCAACCCTCATCGTAGCCATGTATCCCTGAAGCTCCAACTCCAAGCAAACTCTGCCTGCTCCAATATTGCTCATCAAAACCCCTTATTCTATGCATGCCTCCTTATGCTTTCGTTCTTCTTTCCTCCTCCATACTTCTATTACCTTCCTTTTTAAAGTTAAAAACATTTCCAAATTAAACTTATCAAAATGTTTAATTTATTAAATATAAACCTTTTAGGTGTTAAACATTTAAATATTTGTTTATATGTAGGACTTCTGATTTTAGGTTTTAACCAATAAACACTGAAAAAACACCCAGTAAGCACACAAAAAATAAATAAAAATGGTGTTTATCCAGTAAATACAGGAAATAGATACTTGTCTCTAAGGGCTTATCCCCAATGAAGCAGTAATGAGGACCACGGGGGTGAGACTTTTAAATCACACTAATGAGCCGCACATGAATTGGTCCACGTAGACCCTGCTGGTGCACACTAAATATTCCCTAGTGCGCTTTAATGTAGTGCTGTTTGAAACAGTACTATGTGAAAGCGCACTAAGGAATATTACAAAAATAATACTAATTACAGTATATACTACTGCAATGAGTAATGTATATACTGCAATATACATTACTCATTACAGTATACATAAAGACAAATCCCAGAAAACCCGCCTCCCCCCCAATTTGGGACATCTACATAAAACTCAAAAATTGCTAAAAATAAACCCTGAAAAATGAAATTAAAAAAATTCCCCAAACAGAAGCCGTATTTATAGGTTTATACATTTAATTTATAAAACTAAAAACTTAAATAGGGCAAGTCACAGAAGAGGCCAGAGGGACTGGGAAAAAGGAAACTGAGGAGACATAGGATGAAGACAAGAGAGTGTCTTTCAGGGGTCTGAGGAGCAAGAGCTAATCTTTGCAGGAGGGACACAGAGCTAAAATGCACCCATCTTCTAGAATTCCTTTGATACAGGAGACTGTAGAGTGCCTGTTCTGCCCCATGTGCTACTTCTGAACTGCAGAACTGCTTCTAAGCCCCACCATCTAGTCTACTCCCTTAGTTCTTCCAGGTTCCTCTAAGGCATGCTCCATAGGTGTCCCTACCTCTAGCTCGGCCCCTCGGACAGCTTCCCTTGCCAGCATGCACATATTTTCATGCAGAATTCAATGATGGAAATCCAGTGCACGATGAAGTTTATTTAAAATTCTTCTCCTACATTTCCCTGGCTGTGAAATATCTGCTATGTTCAAATGTCTACAAACCTGCATAATGGCATGCAATCTGAAGCGTAGACAATTAATTTGCTGAAGAATCAATAACAACTTCATTACTTTGAATAGAGCAATTTTGAAAATCCAGATACATTTTGATTACCCGGCACATAAAATTCTTTAATCCTAAACCTATAGATACTTTTTTTCAAAAAAATCTCCTCCTATCCTATAGTATTTGAAACATATTTATAAACCAACTACTTACAAACAAATCAGTCAATCCATTCAAAAGTTTAAGGGAATTAAAACTAGGATTTATAACAGAAGTGTAACTGCAACCTTAACTACAGAGTCACTATTAACATCTCCATAATAGCAAGTGATTGTGATATTAGCTATGCAGGCCATGAATTTAGTAATTTCTATTCTCAGGAAATGTTGGACCATATTCAGTTTGACCAGCTGAAGATCCGGAAAAGAGTTTGGCATCATCCCTGGAAAACTTGTCATTTCATTATGGTTATGGACTAAACATCAAAGTGTGTCAAGCAATCTTCAATTAAACAACAAGATATCTAGACTGGGATGTCAACAATTTATTTCAACAGCATGGAACCATAATTACTTTGCACCTTAATGCAACTACTCAATTTAATAGAAAAAGTTAAAACTTCACAGTAATGTTGGAATGCATGTATTGATCAATTCCTATCAACATTGTCTCACCTTAAAAGCATATACACCAGAGCAGCAATGAAAGTGAAACTGAGCACAACAGCCACCAATACCTGGTCACTTATTCCTTCTATAACCGAATCATTATCTAGTTTCAAACTCTGAACTTCTGCTTGTTGACTGGCCATTTCAGGTCTAAAAGGTAAAAAGAACATATATATAAATATATGTATGCACATATATACACACACACAATTCTTGAAGCTATATATAATTTATTGCTTGGAATATATACCAAAAAAAGCGAAGTGGGAAAAAGAAGTTGAATTTGACCATATATACACAGCTTGTTGTAGGGGTTTGAACTAATACCATTATAATACCAGCAAAAGTTTTAAATGATTGGCTGCTGCCTGAAGTGTTAAAATGAAACAAGATTTTTTTTGAATCTGCCAGATATACTACCTGGGGATCCTCGATAGGAAAGACTGCTTGATTTGACACACGTTCCAAATACAGCCTATCTACATCGAGTATGCATCCACGGTCTGGAGTGCCAGGGGTTCTCAAACTTTTTCATAGTGTAGACCACATTGTAACAGTCTTTTGGACCATCCCCTATCTATGGCAACTACAGGTGGGATTTTCCTAAGCGATAAATGTTAGCCTAATGTTGCTACTATTGAAGTCAATGGGAGTTTTGGAGAAAGCCACCCTATAGCATTTCCTTACACAAAAGAATATTTAAGAAGTATTAACGGGGGATGGGGGAGGAGATAATCATGCCTCCTACTCTTGCTCTTCACTGTATCTGCCCTTCCTACATGTTCTATTTCCATCTGCTAGAAACGTGGAGATTTAGCATAGCACACCCAGCCCCTTTCCTCAGACAAACAGCAAGTGCTCCTCAGAGCAGTTTGGAAGTCTCTGGGCTAAGCCTTGAAGGAAGAGGTCATTTTCAGATTACTTCTTGTTCTAACCCAGGGGTCGGCAACTTTTCAGAAGTGCTGTGCGGAGTCCTCATTTATTCACTCTGATTTAAGGTTTTGCGTGCCAGTCATACATTTAAATGTTTTTAGAAGGTCTCTTTCTAACAACTAAACTATTGTTGTATGTAAAGTAAATAAGGTTTTTAAAATGTTTAAGAAGCTTCATTTAAAATTAAATTAAAATGCAGAGCCCCCCGGACCAATGGCCAGGCCCCGGGCAGTATGAGTGCCACTGAAAATCAGCACGCATGCCATAGGCTGCCTACCCCTGTTCTAACCCTTAACATTTGTTTTTTTGTTAACTTCATATTGGCAAAGATCAGAGTGACTTGTCTTCTAGAGATAATGTTGGCTAAACTACAGCAGGAGAGGTAAACGAAATAAAATTGGCTGCAACCAGCTGTTAAACCGCTCCTGTGGCAATCAAGAAGGGCTCTGAACCACAGCTGTGAACATTATGAAACCAACCAGAGAAAATGAAGCTGGCTTTGGGAAAGGAGTGACATGTTTTCAAAATATCATGCTGGAGCTGTGTTCCATCACAATTAAAGTTTTAAAAATATTTTTTCCTTAATGATAAATATGGACTCTTGGAGACAAAATCTGAGACTAATCTAAATTTGTATAATTTATATAATCTTCTACCTCTCTCTCCACCCCCTCTCAGTACACACACCACCATTTTAGGACTCCCTGATATCTTCTTATACAATAAATCATTTCAGAATTTGGCCCTTAATGTTTGAAAAATGCCAGCGAGGAAGTTATTAATTAGCCCTAACTACACATTAAATGGAAAGAAAGAACACCAAAGTCATGGAGATTAGCGTACACCAGTAATGATATGATTTCACTTAGAGGAAAGCATACCCATTATTCTGGCAAAATTTCCACCAGTCTACTATTGATAGTCTCAAAAAACATCTTTTCACCAAAACTCAACGTGGACCATGAAGGTCTGGGTCTTCCATCAGTGTGGGGAATTTACACGCTAGTCTCCATTATATTTGTGGGAGCTACCTACTTCAGTTTCTGCGCAGCAGTGAAGAAAGAGAAGCCAATGCATTCTGCCATCCCAGTAAGTGGATGAGTGATGATATTTTTAAGGACTGTAAGAATGGGGAAAAACTTACCCAGAACAAAGGGTCGATTCCTTTCAATGTTCCTATATACTGGCCTTCCACAGTGAAAAACCAAATGGAACAAAGCATACATGAAGTAAGTGAAATGACCGGGGTAAGTCGACCTAAGTTATGCTACTCCAGCTACGTGAATAACGTAGCTGGAGTCAACGTAGCTTAGGTCAACTTACTACAGTGTCTTCACCGTGCTGCGTCGATGGAAGACACTCTCCAGTCGACTTCCCTTACTCTTCTCGGAGAGCTGGAGTACCAGAGTCAACTGGAGAGCGCTCTGCCATTGATTTAGTGGGTCTTCAGCAATGCCGATCTCCCCTTAGTGAAAACAAGCTCTCAGTAGTCCTAAAATATGCCTCAACCTGAACAGAGACCATTACTTCTGTAACTATGGTTGTAACAGTCCCCCAGCTCTGCTTGGCACTGGTGAGGCCTCAGCTGGAGGAGCGTAACCAGTTCTGAACAGCACACTTCAAGAAAGTTGTGGACAAACTGGAAAGACTCCAGAGGAGAGCAACAAACATGATAAAAGATTTAGAAAATCAGACCTATGAGGAAAGGTTAAAAAAACTGGGTATGCTTAGTCTTGAGAAAAGAAGACTAAGGGGACCTGATAAGAGTCTTCAAATATGTTATGGGCTGCTGTAAAGAGAATGGTGATCAATTGTTCTCCATGTTCACTGAAGATCGGACAAGAAGTTGCAAGAAGATAGGACAAGAGTTGCAGTCTCTGCACTGACAGAAATTTAGGTGAAATATTAGGAAAAACTTTCTAATAAGTAGTACAGGTAAGCACTGGACTAGGCTTCCAAAGCAGGTTGTGGAATCGCTATCATTGGAGGTTTTTAAGAACAGGTTAGACAAACACCTGTCAGGGATGGTCTAAATATACTTGATCCTGCCTCAGTGCAGGGGGAATGGATAAGATGACCCTTTGAAGTCCTTCTACCCCTATATTTCTATGATTCTATAATTTGCACTCATCATAGTTTTTCCCAAACAACTGTGCCACAGTCTGTTTAAATTTTTACAGAACATCTTTTCCAATGGTACCAAACCAGGACTCCTGAGAATCACAACTAAAGTAAAGTTAGAATTCACACAATAGACTTCACATATATTAATATATAAAAAAACCTCAGGTCTTTCTTTATGGACAGGTCCAGGTCCTGTGTCCTACCCCACTTTAATACTTTCAGCAGACTATGGTGCCTTAGGCTTAATTCTCTTGCAGCCCCAACCACCATTTGATAATGATTTTAGGACAGGAATGATAAAGAGGGACAGTACTGGTCAAGGGAATATGTGGGAAGTTATACTAGTATAAGGTAGGGTGTGAATTTAAAACTCTATAGTTATAGCAGTATAATGCCCTGTGTGGACACTCTTATTCCAGTATGAGTGCCTTTTTTCAGTTTAACTTAACTCTTTCAAAGCAACATAAGCTAAATCAGAAAAAGGCACTCTTACACCAAAATAAGAATGTCCACATGGGGAGTTATACCAGAATAAAGTACAGTGATATAACAATACTGGTGTAATTTTATCTGTATAACTTCCTGTGTAGACAAACCCTGAGGCTGCAGTGCTAAGAAAGTCTTTCAAGCACCAATGCCTTGGGGCTGAGGGACTGGGCTCCCCTCTCTGCTGTCTGTCTTCTTAGCAGTTATACACACACTGTGTTTCTGAAAAATCATCTGCTGGAAATGGAGGGGTGAACTTGATGGTCCATAGCATGGGACAGGTTATACTCAATGTCTCCTCCTTGGGTCACATTTCCCTTCCTCTCCACAAATCATAAAGGAGTTCAGATGTGTTCCCCCTACACAGAATATGGTACTTGTACTGATGATCAGCTTCTCTGGATGGGATACCATGTAGCTGTTAAATAATATTAAGAACAAATTCACCAGGAGATTCTAGTACTGGATCTGGACCAAGATCTTTCTATACTGATTTGTTGCAATTGCTGACTGGAAGTGAAGCAAGAATTATACTTGGTATCATAAAAATTGCCATAATGGGCCAGACCAATGATCCATTTAGCCCAATATCCTGTCTTCCTACACTGGTCAATGCTAGATGCTTCAAAGGGAATGAATCATTTGAAGCATAGTATAGTTGGAATTATGTTTTCCAATGTGCATTACTTTGCATTTATCAACTTTGAATTTCATCTGCCATTTTGCTGCCCAGTCACCCAGTTTTGTGAGATCCCTTTGTAACTCTTGGCAATCTGCTTTGGACTTAACTATCTTGAATAATTTTGTATCCTCTGCAAACTTTTCGACCTCACTGTTTACCCCCTTTTCCAGATCATTTATGAATATGTTGAACAGCACTGGTCCCAGTATAGATCTCTGGGGGACCCTGCTATTTACCTCTCCCTTCTGAAAATTAACTATTTATTCCTACCCTTTGTTTCCTGTCTTTTTATCAGATCACCCTTGTCCACATGTTTGTTGACCCCCTCAAAGAATTCTAATAGATTAGGGAGGCATAATTTCCCTTTATAAAAGCTGTGTTGACTCTTTCCCAACAAATCATGATAATCTATGTGTCTGATAATTCTGTTCTTTACTATAAGTTAGTCTTACCAGACTGTAACTACCAGAATCACCTCTGGAGCCTCTTAAAAACTGGTGTCACATTAGCCATCCTCCAGTCATCTGGTACAGATGTTGATTTAAGTGATAGGTTACACACCACACTTAGTAGTTCTGCAACTTCATGTTTAAGTTTCTTGAGAACTCTTGGGGGAATACCATCTGGTCCTGCTGACTTACTACTGTTTAGTTTATCAGTTTGTTCCAGAACCTTCTCTACTGACATTCTAGGCTGGGACAGATCCTCAGATTTGTCACCTAAAAATGGTTCAAGTGTGGGAATGTCCCTCACATCCTCTGCAATGAAGACCAATGCAAAGAACGAATTTAGATTCTCCACAATGCCCTTGTCTTCCTTGAGTGCTCCTTTAGTCCAGTGGCTCCACTAGTTGTTTGGCAGGCTTCCTGCTTCTGATGTACTTAAATTTGTTGCTGTTAGTTTTTGAGTCTTTTGCTA